TTGGGTCAGGTACTAACTTTAACAAGAGAGAATGAATAACTAGAGAGAAATCCAACTAGTCACCCTAGCATTGTGCCAGTCACTACACCTGGACTGTAGCCAGGTGAGGAGTCACATTATTGCCTGTCATTTACTTTGAAAAGATCTTTTGATTTATTTGAAACCTTCAAAAAGCATCAAGTCAAGTAAGATGGCTAGTGGGTAATATTTACTGACAGTTGGTCATGGTAACACGCATAAAACCAAATTACATTCAGCTGAGGTGACCAAGGAGAGACATGTATAGTTCCTGGAAGTGGTACTTACAGCTCATTCACACATGATAAAGTTTCTGATGGTTACAAACAATGCAAGGATGGAAATAGATGCAGCATGTGTATACTTCTTAAACAAGGTATAATGGCTGAAAGGGCCCCTTCCGGCTCTGACCAGATGGAGCACATGGCTCCACTCCCCTGTTGTAACCCCCAATGAGGCTTTAATCTTAGGAAACACCCTAGTGTTGATCCTTTTCCTAAGAAATTAGACTGTTGTGGAATATTATTTTAAGATGTGTTGCATTTGTTTAATGATGTAAACATGTGTTGCATTCTTTTATGTTGCATTTGTTTAACTATGTGAAGCAATGTTGCTTTGCCTGTCTAAAACACCTGATTTGTCTAATAAAAAGCTGAACAGACAATAACAAGGCAGGAGAACAGACAGGTGGGGCTGGCAAACAGGGAGAATAAATAGGAGAAATCTGGGAAAAAAGGGATCCAGGGTGGAGAAATGGAGGAAAGGGGGACTTTGGGAGCCAGCCACCCAGCCACCCAGCTACACAGCAAGTCCACAGAGTAAGAAGTAAAGAAAGGAATACAGAAATAGGGAAAGGTAAAAGCCCAGAGGCCAAAGGTGGTCTCAATAATTTAAATTAAGAAAAGTTGTCTAGAAACATGCCAAACTAAAGGTCGGGCATTCATAAAAAAGAATAAACTTCCTGGTGATTTATTTGGGAGCTGGGTGGAGACCCCCTAAAAGAACAGAGTGAAAACAACTAAACACATTAGATGGTTGATCTTCTGTGGATAGTTTTTAATTTGCCTTCTGGGGAAAAAATAAATCAGCAGTTAGTCCACCTGTGAAACAAAAGTCAGGTACTATTTAGATTGTATCATGTCGGGCACTGATGGTGCAACGCCTTTAATTCCAGCACTCAGGAAGCAGAGGCAGGTGGATCTCTGTTAGTTTGTGGCCAGTCTGGTCTACAGAGTGAGTTCCAGGACAGCCAGGACTGTTACACAGAGAAACCCTGTTTGGAAAAACAACAACAAAACAAAAATAACACCTTCCCCTGGCCAAAAAGGAAATGAATTGTATCAGTGACACAAGGAATAAGCTCAGTGTCCTATAAAGGACTTGATTACATGCCTTTCATGATGAATCTTGCATCACCTTTGATCAGTTCCAGTTGCATGTGTCAACACAGAACAAGGGAAGGGATGTAGCTCAGTTGGTAGGGTCTTTGCTTTGTGCGCATGAAACCATGGTTTGTTTGGTTGGTTTTTTTACTTTTTAATTTTTTTCACTCATACAATACATCCTGACCACAGCTTCTCTTCCCTCTATTCCTTCCAGTTTCCCCTTCTCATCTCTCCAGATTTACTCCCATACCCCATCTCCTCCAAGGAAAGAGCAGGCCTCCCCAGGACATTGACTGAACAGGGCACAGCAAGATTCAATAAAACCAGGCACAAACCCTCATATCAAGGCTGGGTAAGGCAACCCAGTAGGAGGAAAAGAGTACCGAGAGGAGGCAAAAGAGTCAGAGACACCCCCATTCCCACTGTCAGGAGTCCCCCTAAAACAACATATATGCAGAGACCTAGTGCAGACCCATGCAGGCTATGCAATTGCTGCCTCAGTGTCTTTGAGCCCCTATGAGCACGACTTACTTGATTCCACCTCTGGCTCCTACAATTCCTCCTCCCCCTATTTGGGAGGTTTCCTGAATTCCAAGGGGGAGGGTCCCAGTTAAGACCTCCAAACTGGGCTCTCTCACCTCCTAATGTTTGGCTGTGGTCTCAGCATCTGCTCCCAACATGTACTGGAGGTGGCCTCTCTGAAGACAACTAAGGCATCAATCTGTGAGTATATCAGAACATCGTTAGAATCATTTCATTTCTTTTTTTAAAAGATTTTATTTATTATGCATACAATGTTCTACCTGCATGTAGGCCTACAGGCCGGAAGAGGGCACCAGATCTCATTATAGATGGTTGCCAGCCACCATGTGGTTGCTGGGAATTGAACTCAGGACCTCTGGAAGATCAGTCAGTGCTCTTAACCTCTGAGTTTATTTTGATTGTATCCTAGGTCTCTGGAAGTCCTGGGATTTTATTCTGAGTATTGCCTCAAGCAGGCATGATGGTCCTTGTTTGTAATCCCAACTCTAAGGAGGTGGGTGCAGAAGGATAAGTAGTTCAAGGTCATCCTTAAAGTATAAGGCCAGTCTGAGATACATGAGACTTTGTCCCAAAAGGAAAAGAAAGAAATAGGCTTGTTTCCTTTTGATCATTTATAAATGTTCGGCATCTTGACAGTTAGGATCATAACTTATAACAAAAGCATCATTTTGTGAAACCCAGTATTAATTTACTTTAGGTGGTCTTACTCTGAGAACACACAGAAGAGGAAGGCCTGCCCCAATACTATTAACATCAATTTATTGCTCATGAGTGAGAGCTTCAATGACTGAGATATGATTTTAGAAGGATCTTCATTTTAGGAAGAGACATTAAACTAAAATTTAGGAATAAAGCCTTAAACACATTGTAGATGGGGTTCTGGGATGCGAATTGCATGGAATTATGCCAGTGGCTTGATAGTGATAGAATTTATCTCAAGAAGTACTAAAGGGAGAAAGTTTAAAGTCTTAGAAATCATTAGCGGGATTTATTTTACAGTAAGAGACTTCTAAGCAGGAAGAATGTTATGTAAACCATGTGGGAACTAGAGTAGTGTTCACAATAACATGTACACAGCAGTGCATGATGGTGTCCATGTACACAGCAGTGCATGACGGTGTCCATGTACACAGCAGTGCATGACAGTATCCATGTACACAGCAGTGCATGACAGTATCCATGTACACAGTAGTACATGATGGTGTCTGGAAGAAGGGTTAAGTTTGCTTCCAGGGCATTTGCTTTAGCTGAGTGCTAGGCCAAATGTCTCAGCAGGCTTTAAGTTTATCCCAACAGATCACTTCTGTTGCTTAAAAACTCTAACTTCACACATAAAATGTAATTCAGAATCCAGGCACTGAAATGCTCACCTAGCCACTGATACCACTTTCAAAGCAGTCAGTTACAAGCCTCAGCCACCACCAACTTTCATGGGAGCTGGTGAAATCTGTCCAAATATGGTGAACATTCCTCTATTGCCAAAATGGGAAAAACAGCCTTATCTCCTCATCAAAAGCTATCCACCAGGAAATCAGCTTCCCTGTTTAGTACCCAAATAGACAAAAAACACATTTCATGTGCAGCTCCTGGGAGACTTGTCCCAGTGCCAACTTGTGGGGCTCCAGTAAACATGAAATCATAGCTCTTGATAATGTTGAAATCTTTCTAGAAACACTCTAGGCAGAACTTGTCCAGTTAGGGAAAAGGTGATTTTATTTGCACATATGGAGCTTCTTTCTGCACTTCACATCAGAGACTACATTCTTCCTCCTCTGTGTATGTACACCAGAAAGTTTGTGTTCATGTGTGCTGTTTGCACGTGTGTGTGTGAGCGCACTCGCGTGCTCACATGTGCACATTCATATACTTTATAAATACACACAGAGCTACAGGTGTCTCCCAGGCGACTTTGTCTGGGGTTACAGGTGGCCCCTCAAGGCTGCCTTGTCTCAGTCTGGAACACATCCCACATCTGCCTGGAGAAGAACTCAGGTTTACCCTACTCTGGGATACCCAACCATATACACATGTCTCAGTGCCACTACAACAGCTCCAGGAACTTCAGCAAGGACCCTCTGCCTACCTAAAAACCCGCAGCATCTGGGTTCCCCTCTTGCCTCTAAATCTCAGGGATCACTGGGGACCTGAGGTGTCTGTCGCGCCTGCGCCTGCGGGAGAGGGAAAGGCACGGACAAGTTCCCAGCAGCCGGCTCCAACCCACGGAGTCCATCCCTTCCCGGGCTAGGTAACCAGACCCAGACCAGCGTGGGCGAAGCCAGGGAAAAATCCCTCCCTTCTCACTTTGCGTGGTCCCTTCCTACTCACATGGTCTGGGAGCTTCAGCCCAGCCTTGAGCAGCAGCAACGTTCCCCAGGCACTTTGGGCCCAAGCAGCGCCCAAGGTCGGGCCACCCCCACCCCAGCACTGTGGAGCTCTGGGTTCCCAGCCTCAGAGGCTGGCTCCAAGGGCTCCCCCGCCCCCTCCCCCCTCCCCCGTCC